AGTGTGTGTGTGTGTGTGTGTGTGTGTGTGTGTGTGTGTGTGTGTGAGAGAGAGAGAGAGAGAGAGAGAGAGAGAGAGAGAGAGAGGTTGATATTGACAAACAGTTGATATATAATAATTGTTGGAAATCGCTTTTATGGCGACTTTTTTGTCTGACTTTCATTATATTGTTAAACGAATTAATTTACTCAATTTAATTATCATTTTATAAAGTGTTGTGACGAGTTATGTTATTTCTATGAAGGCAAGATACCGAACAAACTACACGTCTAAACTGAAGAAAAATATTGCAAAGGTCGATTTTGCATTTTTCCAAGGAAGTTGAGACTGGTCAAAATATGTTCTAACATAAATAAAGAAGTACTGTTTTATAAATAGAATTTAAAAAATAACTTCTCGTTTAACTATTCACTTTAGAAATTATTTAAAACTGATATATGCATGTAGTACTCCAGATCATTTCTTGTGTTTCTGTCCTGGAATTAATTCAGCACCTATGTTATCTTGTAGATCAACAACGAAACACTAAAGCTAATCTTTCTAATCAAACATCCATAGTTTATGGATAGTAAATCAATTGATTTATTTGGTGCCCGTTTTTATCCCTTAATAAGTGAGACAAAAAAGTCAAAGAAATAGTAGCGTTACTGCAACAAACATGAGACGGCATTGAGGGTTTATTTGTGTATCTTTGTGTCTGCTTAGCTAAATGTTGAAATACAACAAGATAAATGTCTCTAATAACTAACAGGTAAACGCCGTGCAGTCGCGTGCTCGGCGGGAGCCTTCTCATCCGACACTTTGCAGTGAGTGAGTCTTAAACAGAAACAACACGATTAACGACTGATTAACATGTAGCTGATAGACGAAAAAGGGTATAACAGCGTTTGTTACGTTTATTGTTACATGTAGCTCAACCATTCCAAAACATATATTCATCGCCAGCCTTTCTGTATTTCTGGTATTCTACTCAACGACGGAGGAGGCCTACCATACAGTTAAGCTGATTGCATTCAGCGAGAGTTCTTGCAGAGTTGGTTCGATCTACGTAGACCGATGCTCTCTATGTGAATGTGGCCTAAGATCCTGCACTAAAATTTCATTTACAAATGCAGAATCAAATACAAATAATCAACAACACAAAAAAGATAAGACAAAGTGGTTGATCTTAATGCTGTTAAATAATTCAAAAAACATCTTTTATCAACTGAAGATCTTTAAGAGGCTTTTTTAAACTGGCCAGCAATTTTTTCTTAAATTTCAGCATCGTGGGGTCGTATGTGTAATTCTTCAGAGCTTCTTTGCAAGATGGCAGATTGTAAGCCTTCCGGTACTTGTCAAAGTGGCACTTCTTGTAATGCTGATTCAAGCCAAATTTTTCATGAACTTGAATAGAATGAGGCGTTTTTTCAAGCATTTTGGGGATTTTCAAGCAATAATGATTATGCAAATTATTGCAAGCCATCGGGTCTGAGATGCTTTTAGTTGCCGTTCCGTGAGCCGTCAGTTCTCTTAAATGGTGGATTTGACGTAACGTTAACGCATACTCCGGCTCCGACGTATTCTGCGGCAGTTCGGAGAAGTAATACACGTTCCTAAAATTATACATTCGGTACGGATGACTTGATTCTGTTTCATTTTCAATGGCGGCCAACATGTCATGGTACGTCATCAAATTTCCACGGGGAACGATCATTTCATCTAAATCGGTGACGACGATTTTCTTGTATATGTACATGTTCTTATACATACAGTCATTGATCACAGGAGTCGCCATGATATGAAACATGATTTCTCCGTCCTCGGTCATGGGCCGCGGTACCCTGGTGTAGGTTAAGATCCCCTGCTGGTGGTAGTATAAGAATACCCTCTCCGTGGTGTCCTGCACCATGCTGCCGTAAATGTTGATCTCCTTTACTCCCCAGAGCCTGTGCAGCTCCACCCACTCCACTAGTCTATAGGGATCAAACTTCCAGTAAGCCAAACTGACACAGCTCCCGAAGTCCATTGTTTCCTCTCTTCTTGGATATCGTACAGGTACACGCACCTGTTCATGAGATTCCCAATTTGTTTGGGTCAGATATGTCTTGTCCACCACGGAGACGAATGTCGCGTTCTTATCCTTGACTCTTAAAGGTCCGCACACAAATATATACTCCCGAAAGAATTTCCCGTGTCGCCAGCCTCCTATGCCGATGTCAGTCGGCGTAATTGCCTGCAACACGGGAGTTTCCCGCCCTTCGTAGGTGACTAAACAAGACAGTTTCTCTTTGTCCACTTCATCTTTGTGCGCCATACCGATGATACGAATGGCGGGTCTCATCATGGGGTCTGTGGTCGGTCTATCGTCATAGTAGGCGGAGAGGAGATACATCTCTGTCGTTATGTTTGGTGTGTACCAGAACATGGTCTTAACAGGACGTGTCCGGGTGTTTTGTGTCAGGTGAGTGTTAAGGTGTGTGTCGTCAAGTATGGACAGGTATAGTACCACCACAGTGGCCAACCCCGAGAGCACCATTGCAGCTATGAATTTGGGCTGAATGAAGGCGAACTGAAAATATTTATAAACAAACAGATTTAGGTAAAACGGACATATATAAAACTGAGGAAACTAAAGATTTGTTCAGAAGGGAGCGAAGTCTGGATACGGGGATATTATAATACGGTGTTGAAATTTGATATGGGATTTTTTTTAATCAATTAATTTCGATTTAATTTAATTTTTCAAAGTAATGAAAACAAATATAGTATTTGTGACAGCTTGCCTTTAATTAAATTCATTAATGAAGCATTACAAAAATACATGGCTGATTTAAAGTCATAAAACAACCCTTACGCAAAGTTGTCGGTAAACTGGTACCACCACATCTGACGTCACAACTCTGTTTTTACATATCTCATATGAGTTGTAAGTTAAAAAAAATATTTTTACCTATATATACCTTTTAAATAGAAATACCCCATATCAAATGCCAATTCTGTTTAAGAAAGGGAGAGAGAGAGAGGGAGAGAGAGAGACGGTTCTATATAGAAACCCAAACCAGGATACTTCTGTGTTATCCACGCATGATGTTAAAGTTATAGATAATTCAAAAGACCAGACCACCATAATGTGCCGTCTAGGCATAATGTTTCATATGATGTTTTTATATGTATGTATCTAACTGTGTCTACTGCGCGCAATTTCGTTGTTCAGCAAACTGTTTACGCCCCTGACGAGGCCTCCGGGCCGAAAAAGCTGTAGGGACTTATGTAAATTATAATGGAGAGAACAGATTAACCTTGTTCGTTTTTTGTCTTGTTCGTTTCTTGTATATATATATATATATATATTCGACCGCCAATTCAAGGTCTACGTGCTGAATTAACCACCTGGATAGAATTAATGGGGATAAAAACATGAATAGATTTATATAATGGGAAGGTAACTCTATCTGCTGTATTATACCCTAAAAGTCACTCTGATGAGTAAACAATCGCATGTACGTGCGCACACGCACACACACACACACATACACGGGCGGGGGGAGGGGGTTGATCAACAACGCTATTAGAGCAGGGCACATGATGATGATAATATTGCATACCTGGATGATATGCTATTGAAATGTATGGTATGGTATGCTATAAATATAGTACACCTGACACACACTCACACATGAACACGTACACCCCACCAAAATAATTACAATAATAAAAAACAGACATCTGCTCTTCCAATCACAGTATACGATAGATATGAATTAGGCCTCTACAAGCCTCATCACTCCCGCTTACCAACATCTTCAGCGGCATTCGGTTCTCAGTCTTCTTCTAAGCAGGAACTTAGGAAATAATTAACATCCTGCACGTCCCAACACAGGTACACAGCGGTGGTGACATCCCTCCATGCTGAATGCTGTATGTACGTGGACCGTCTGACCGAGATAGGATCTCTTTTTATTTTAACCCTCGCGTCGCATAACCAGCAAAATCAGCATATTTAACGACGTGTTCGAGTCTCTCGTTCATTTAATTTTTAAATAACCTCCATCCTATGTTAAGAGACCTACGAGGTTTTGTAGAGCTAAGGAATCATTATTTTAATTTGCGCAGTTTCCTTTTCTTCCTTTACAGCGCAATTTGATTGTCGAGATAGTGATATCATAAAATGATCATAAACTGCAATTTTTATCGCACAAGTATCACAACCATAAAATAATTCTGAAATGCGGTCTTAAAAGACTAATCAGTGAATTTTCGCTCCGTTTATTTTTTTTTTACATATGTGTACAAATAATCGGAGGAAATCCTTTTTGTAAAATGAGGGTCACCTAAAAGTTAGGCATTCATTAAAAGATAGGAGTCTAGAACGCCCTGATAATCTTCATAGATCTTATTAACAGATTGTTGATAGTGTGTATGGGAGAAGGTTTCATAGTGTAAATATCAAATAAAATCGGTCGATATAACAGTTCGATGTATACGTGGTAGATAATACCGTGTGAGTGTTACATATAGAAACAGGCTTGCCGTTCCTTTATGAAAATCAGCTTCTCAGATTGCGGGCAATGTCGTCAGTGTTCGTCAACTGGCCGCTCTTCTGTGGCCGACTAAATAGTTAGCAAGTCCTCTTTGGACTCCGACTCTAGAGATAATTTCCAAAACTTAAAAAGAAAGGTTTTCTTGTAGTATTAATTTGCGGCATATTTATTTATTTCAGTTATAACAATTTCAATATATAGCATTTGTCGAAAATAACCATTCAGTTGTTGGGTTAGACATGTAGAAAAGAAACAATATTTTGAGTTTGAAGTATTAATAAAAAAGGGGGTCCATCTCGAAAAAAAGGGAGGGTCCTCTAAAAATTCACATCGAGCTGGCCGACGTATTTGGCAGGTCATTTCATCTAAAAACAGTCATGATGAAGACGTAGAGACCAAATAAAGAGATAGGACTGTGTTTTTTGACGTAGCCAAACCATTCCAAAAGCTACAAAATAACGTTTGTTTGTAAGCTGTTTATTTCAGCGTTCGTATTCCCAGTTTATCCAGCTCCTTCTGCACGCGCGATACCAGCACATCCTTAAACCTGTGAACACTTGTATCTATAGCGTAATCCTTCAGTGCTTCTTTACACGGCTTCAGAGAACGGTAAACATTCAAAACTTTATCAAAATGGCATCTTTTGTAATGTTGGTTGAGTGCAAAATCTTTCGGTACATGAAGCGACTCCGTTTCCGCATCGCCTAGTTCTGTCAGTTTCCAACAATAGTGATTGTGTAAATTAGTACACGTTAAAGGGTCTATGATGGTTTTTGTGGACACCCCCTGCAGAGAGGGAAGCCTCAGGCGTCCTACCTGACGCAGCGTTGTGAGATGACTCGGCATGGAATTGTCCTGCGGAAGCTCGGAAAAAAAGTACACGTTACTAAAGTGATACATTCGATGTCGGTGTTTCCTCTTAATGGCAGCGTCAATTGCATCTAAGAGCTCGGTATAACTGGTGAGATTTCCCCGTGGAACAATCACCTCGTCTAGATCAATCACCACAATGTGTTTATAGCGGTACATGTTTTTGTACATGCAGTCATTAAGAGTTGGCGCGGACATTAACTGCAACATAAACTCCTCGGTTTCATTAAAAATCCGGAAAACATTGTTATATATCAAAATATTCTGGTTGTGATAATGCATGAAGACATTTTGTGTGGTTTTATTGACAATGCTGCCGTAAATATTGATCTCTTCGACCCCCCAGATTCTGTTGAGTTCTACCCACTCCACCAGGCGAAGAGGATCAATGGTGCCATACGTCAACCCAATACAAGCACCAAACTCTAGCTTCTTCTTAGGTCTGTGCGGATATTTGATAGGTATCTTGTACAAACTCTTTACATTAGGGTACACATTGTCCGGAGATTCGTCAATTATAGATAGAAAACGCGGTTTAATCGTTGAGGATAATTTTCCAAGGTCGCACACGAAAATATACTCCCGAAAGTACCATCCTCCCGACCCTGTGGGAGAGTAGGTCATTCTGATAGGCGTCCATTTGGAGTTGCCAACCCAAATCACACACATCATTTTCTTTTGTCCTCTGCCTTCTATTTGTTCCTTGTCTGCTATGGTGATTATACGAACAACTGGTCTTGCCCTGGGGTCGAGTGTTGGTCTGTCGTCATAATATGCAGACAGCACATACATTTCTGTCGTCACATTGGGCTTGGCCCACGCCATTGTGTCCACGTGTCTGTGGTATGACGTCACATGTCTGTTTACAACCTTCCTCTTTTGTCCCCCAGGTCTCTGCAGTGACATATAAACACCAATGTAGCAAACCGCAGCTATCACTATTAGCACAATAAGGCGGGACTGCAGCGTGCAGCCTGTCCGGCAACATCTCCGCAGCAAGTGGCGTCTTTCCCGAACGTAGAAAGTTTTAATACCTCTTGTGCGAATCATTTTTGTTCTTCCCCCTACTCCTGCGTGCATTTCCTCCTCTGCTAAGTTGATGATACGTGCACTTTATACTGCAGTAGAACTATTTTAAGGGTATATTTGACACGCACTAAGAAAGCAACACATTAAACGGACGTGTTGCTAAATGGCTTTTATTTTTACCTTTAATGCGACATTTACAGCATTAAGAATTTGCTTTAATGATCCTCGTGACGAATTTACACATATATGTGTCTTAGGCATATGCATTACAATACCATGCCTCTACCTACAGGGATTTCTTTTGACATCTTAACGTCATGTAGATGAAACTTGAAATTCCAAATCGTATCACAGGCAGTGTCACCGATCCCAATTTCTTTCCAAGCAGAATGATTTGTCATTCTCCTTTTCTAAACTTCTTTTTATAAATTAATGATAAACATGACGTGCAAACAAGTTGCACATAATCTCTAAAATCTTTTTTTTTTTTTTGGCCTCTTGGGTTTTATATTTCAATGTATCTTCTTTTTTGTCTTTTATTTATTTTATTTTAAAATATTTTTTCAAATATCTAATAATTTTATATCGTTTTTTCACTGAAGCTGAATGGTAAAGAAAAGTCTTCGCGCATTCTTTTCTGCGCACTTAAGCTTGCAGTTAACTTCGCCTTGGTGCAGTGAACGCGATCCTTTACCTCATTCACCATTGACCTTAAAAGGTTAATGAACTTAGTCTATCTGGACCTTGAGGTCTATCCTGGTCCTTGAGTTAACACTTAGTATGGTCAGTGTTGGTCAAAGTCAATATCTGGACCTTGAGGTCTATATCGATCCTTGAGTAAACACTCAATATGGTCAGTGTTGGTCAATGTCTATATATGGACCTTGAGGTCTATGTTGGTCCTTGAGTGTTGATCAATGTCTATATCTGGACCTTGAGGTCTATATTGGTCCTTGAGTGTTGATCAATGTCTATATCTGGACCTTGAGGTCTATATTGGTCCTTGAGTGTTGGTCAATGTCTATATCTGGACCTTGAGGTCTATAATGGTCCTCGAGTGTTGGTCAATGTCTATATCTGGACCTTGAGGTCTATAATGGTCCTCGAGTGTTGGT